CGCAGGTGGCTCTCGTAATTCGCGATGGCCTCGCTCCTCGGCATCATCTTTGACACCTTGAAGGGGTTCGCCCACTTGGATGGGGAGAAGCCATACCGCTGCCCTGTGCGACCGATGTACACCTGTGGGCGCTCGTCGCTGTAGGATCGGCCCAGCTCGCCTCGCACCGGCAGCCTCGCCTCGCCCTGAGAGACCACCGAGCCTCTCTCACGATGTGGAGGCAGAGGAAGGTCGCGCCGCAATTCACGGTCCTCAGGCAGCGGAGGCACTCCCTCCAGCCACTCACGAAGCAGCCACCGGTGGATGTGCTGGATGATGCCTGTCGCCGACACCCAGCCCATTGGGATCACGGCCGCGGCCACGTGCACCTCGCCGGTCCCGTCAAGACCGAGGCAGGACCTGCTCACCTTCTTGGAGAGCGCCATGTACTTGTGCCACACCGCGGGCAACCGGTACACGTAGAAGCAGCACTTGAGGTCCTCCGACGAGCTCATCATCACCTCGCCGCTCCTCAGGATGATGCTCTTCCACTTGTCTGTCGTCGGGAGGAGACCCATGTCCCCCTGGACCGTCTCCTGCAACCAGTTGCTCGGGATGATGTTCATCACTAGCCGCTGCGGCCCCGAGCCTTTGACGTGTCCCGACTTTCGTACACCAAAGAGGCCGCCCAGCACGCGACGGCCCTTGACCTTCACGATCTCGTCGGCCTCGATCGGGACGAGGATGCCCCTGTTCACGAGCTCGGCCGCGATGAGCTCCCACTCGTCATCCTCGGCCCAGACGCGCGGGGTCTTGGGCATCTCGCCCAGCTCCGCGGGGCTCTTCATCACCCACTCCGGGTGCTCCAGCACGCTCCTGATCCAGCCTTCGCTCACCTCGGTCGCCAATACCGAGCCGCAAGCCTCCTTCGACGGCAGGGCGAGCAAGAGGCGCTCGCGGTCTAGCTGCTCGGCTGGGTACACCTCCATGCCCGTGTAGCTCACTGCCGACGACTTCAGCTCCTGGGTCCAGTCGAGGTTCGCCACGGAGCCCTCGTACTGGCATAGGAACGTGCCCACACTCCTGGCCAGCAACCTCAGGGCCTTCAGCTGCACCGCGCTGGCGGGCCCGTGCCTTACCTTCCAGGGGGCCATCTTGAGACCAGGATGCTTGCCCCCCAGCGCGTACTGGAAGTTCAGGCTCAGGACAGTGAGCTTCAGCCAGCCGTTCAGGTCGTCCTCGAAGGAGGGATCGACTGGCTCCGATTCGCCGAACACAACGCCGTTCATGCTCAACTCCTCGATCGTCAGATCGACGCAGGGCAACGGCAGCAGGTCACGCCGTCCGTTCCCTGCGGTCAGTGGTGAGAGGATATCATCGTACGATTTCGCATCAAAATTGCCAAGTGCCCCGCTCGAAGCGGGCGAAGAAGTACTGAGGTCAGCTAGACGGCGTCCCACAACACGAACTGGAGCTCCACAGAGACTGCCCAGCTCACTGGCGGCACGCGTCGGGTTCAAGTAAGGAAAGTCGTGAATTCGCGTGGACGGCACGTCCGAGACTGCGCCATGAGCGGCGCCGTTGCACTCATCCTCAAGGTACGAGGAGAAGGTGATCTCGGACTCCCAGCTGCCGTCGGACGTGCAGTCACACGCCTCTCGAGTGCCCTCGAAGCTCATGCATTCTACTTCCGATTCTTGTTGGACCTCTTGCCCTGGCCCTTGCCCTTGCCCTTGCCACGGGCCTGACCCTTCGTGCCGCCCTTGCCCTTCGGGTTCCACGAGCGCCAAGGTGGCGTCCCGCGGTGCTGCCCTTTGTCGCCCTTCGGCTTGCCCTTGTTGCCAGCCTTCGCCTCCGCGGTCACGTCGTCCGCGAACCTCACGCGACGAACAGGGCTCGAGGGTCTCCGAAGGGCCGGCTCGCGATCCACTCCAGGGCTGATCGAGCCAGGTGCTGGCCGCCAGTGGGGCGACGGGCTTCTCGGGCTCCCCGATCTCTCGCCAGCACCTGTCCCGGCTGCCGGGCTCGGCGACGCTCTCTTCACTGCCTCGCCAGCGTCCCCTCGACCGCGACCTCGCCCTCGGCCGCGTCCACGCCAGAGCTTCGCCCTCCACCTGTCCTTCCTCGATCCGGGCGTCGGCGCATCCTTCTCCCCCTGTGCTCCAGGACTCGATGTCTGTGGGGGCGGCGTCGCGGGAGAGGGCGTCCTGGTGCGCCCGCCCTCTCCCTCGCCGAATCCCTAGGGGGGCCTCCTCGCGCCCGCTCGAGTGAGGCGCTCCTTCAACTTCGCACCCTCCGAGTAGGATGCCACGGCCGCCGACACCTCGGCGCTGCTGGCCAGCCCGATGTCGGTGGAGTCGATCAGCTCGAGGTGCTCGGCTATCTTCCAGTGCCCGTCCTTGGTGGCCTGCTCGATGGCCTTCAGCCTCTGCATGAGCATGTCGCCCAGCTGCGGCAGATCGCCCCTCGTGAGGGCGTCCAGGCACTCCCCGATCATCCTCATCTCGCGCACATTCCGCACCCCCATCTCGTTCTGAGGGTGCATGCCGTGCCACACGCTCGTGATATACTGCACCACGTTGGACGCCATCCTATCCAGCTCATCATCGTTGTCGGCCCCGCCCCGCTGCGCCAAGTACTCTCGGATCTGCTTCAGACCCGCCGCCATGAGCGCCCCGGGGTCGGAGCGGGCCAGCTTCTGCACTCGGCGGCCGGAACCAGCGGTCGGGGCCTCATCAAAACTCGCACTGTCGGAGCTATCCTTGTCCCTGTTCTTCTGCTTCTTGCGGCTGCGGCGGCCCTCCAGCGCAGCCTCGGCGCGCTCGGCCAGCGCCTCGCCCATGGAGCGCTTCCTCTGAAGCTTCTCCTTCAGCCTCTTGACGATCTTCCTCATCTCCTCGGCCGTCCTGCCATCCACGTCCTCACCGTCGGCACCGCCTGAGCCCTTGGGAGCTCCACCTGCGTTCTTGCCCGGCACCACGGGTCCAGCGTCAGCGGCGGGCGGCGCACCGCCTGCAGGGAGGGCGCCAGGCGGGGTGGCTCCAGCGCCATCAGCGGCACCGCCTCCAGGCCCGGCCGCCCCCAGCACGCGCAACGTGTCCGAGTGCACCACGTTGCGCCCTGGCCAAGCGGTCGTGCGACAGCAAGTCGCCACGCCCTGGGTGCAGAGGTGCACCACGCTGCTTCCCATCGCGAAGATGCCCTGCAGGATCGGCAGGTAGAGAGGGTCGCTGCTGCTCTCCACTGTGCACTCCACGAACTCTCCTGCCGCGTCAGGCGGATACAGCCCTGTCACGGTCATCGTCGTCGTCCCGCTTGGCTGACAGGCAGCATCGTACATCACCAGCTCGACGCGGCAGCCGGCGCTCAGTCCCAGGAGGCCGTGGGTCACGGCCTGGGGCGCCATGGGCACGTATACCCAGGGTCCAGCCTGCTGCGCCGCCGCCGCGACCCCCGCCACCGCTGGCTGGGCGAACGCTGCTCCGAACTGCGGCAGCGCCCCGCCCGCCGCGGGCATGCCTGCCTGCCAGCCCACGGGCACAGGCGCGGCGGCGGCTGGCACCGCGTGGGCGGCCTGCCCTGCCACGGCGTGGCCGCCTCCACCCCCAGCGTGAGCGGGTGGTCCCACGAGGGCTCCCACCCCGGGGATCCCTGGGATCAGACCCGGCACCACGGGGCCGCCCAGGGCTGCTGGCGCTCCTGCTCCAGCGCCAGCGCCTCTGCCGCGACCTGCAGCGGGCGGCGGGGCGGCAGGCGGCTTGCCCATGCCGCCCATTGGGCCACCCATGCCGCCCATGCCGCCCTTGCCGCCCATCCCGGGCTTCGCCGCTGCCTTGCCTCCGCCTCCTGGTGCTGCGGGGCCTGCAGCGGCTCCGCCCGCGGCCGCGGCAGCTCCAGCGGCCACTCCGGCAGGCGGCGGCGGGAGCAGGGCGCCGACGCCAGGCGGCAGTCCCAGAAAGCCGCCCAGCACTCCGCCGCCGCCCACGCCGAGGAGCCCCCCGCCAGGGCCCAACCCAAGCGGGCCAGGCGGGGCGCCCGCGCCAGCCCCCGCGGCTCCGAACATCGCCACCGCCGTGCTGCCGCCGCGGCGGCGCGGGCTGGTGAGCTCCCCCAGCCGCCGAGGGGGGAGCTCACTCGGGCGCGGGCTCCTCGGAGGGGGTCATTCTGGGGACCCCCGCTTGCTTCTCTGACAGGGCTAATAGAAGCACCTCCACCGCGCACACCCTGCCGCAGCTTGAGCCGAGGCGGCTACGGAGAGGCGGTTTAGAGGAGATCGTTTCGAGGACGGAGGGGGGACGAGATAAAACCCATGAGAATCTCAAGGATATATATACCCTGCCCCACCTTTTTGCGCGCGGACACGCCAATGGTCAGAGTAGGCCAGCCCCCCTCAAACCCCCCAGCTACTGTACGCGCCGGGATGCAAGGGCACCCTACGCCACGCATTACCTAGGCGGCAAGCACGCGGCGCCTACCGCACCGCGCGCTTGCCACCTAAGGCGTGCGAGGTGGTCCTCCACCGTTCGCATACAGCAATCTGGGGAGGGGGCCTACGCTATCTTCTGGGCTACGGCACCAGCAGAAAGCGTGCCTCAACACGGAAGGGGTGGACCGCGGGTGGGAGCCCAAACAGGCTACGGACGTGTTGGGGCGGCGTGTCCTGGCCAAAGGGGGGAAGACGGGTATACGCATACAGGGGACCAGTATACAGACATACCCTGCCCCACCTTTTTGCGTGCGGACACGCCAATGGTCAGAGTAGGCCAGCCCCCCTCAAACCCCCCAGCTACTGTACGCGCCGGGATGCAAGGGTACCCTACGCCACGCATTACCTAGGCGGCAAGCACGCGGCGCCTACCGCACCGCGCGCTTGCCACCTAAGGCGTGCGAGGTGGTCCTCCACCGTCGCATACAGCAATCTGGGGAGGGGGCCTACGCTATCTAACTCCCCCACCTACTGGCCTTAAGGCTACGTAGGCCGTCCGTGTTTAACTCCCACCCACCCCCTGCAAATGGCATATTTATGCCGGTCCTTAATTCGGGGGTGCGCGGGGGGGCAGGCCACAAGACTGCGAGGGGGGGTCTGGACACGCAACCCGCGCCAGGCCACAGGCCTGACGTGGGGCAGGCACCGCACAGGGCGGCCCCACGCGTGCCAGACATCCCTCCGCAGCCCCTTGGTTTGGCCCCCCCAGCACACCCCCCTACTCCACGCCCTTCCCCAGCCCTTACACTCCACACGAGGAGGAGGTGACGGGGGGAGGCGACGGGAGGAGGTGAAACGATGCACGGAGAAGGCGAGACGGGCGTGGACCCCAAACAGAGAACGCCCCACACAACGGGCGGACCCAGGGGACCCCGGAAACCAGACCCAGAGAGAGAGAGAGAGAGAGAGGGCCACGCGGCCCCACGGCGGGAGGGCGGTTGCCTTCGCCGAAGCGAAGACAAACGCCCGATTTTCGGCAAGCACTGTTGGGCGCGAGCAGTGGCCTTTTACAGTGGCCAGCTGCAGGAGCCGCAGTCCCCGCGCAACGGCGAGGGCTGCCTCGCTCCCGGGCTGGGCGCGCACTGAGTCGGCCACCGCGCCCTCGATGCACAGGCGTGCGGTGGCGGAGGAGGCCCACCGACCCGCCACGAGGGTCGCCTCCATGGAGCCGCTCCTGACGAAGAAGGCGCTCGCCCCGCCACGTCGCAGGCTGTGCCACGTGATGGGCCCCGTCAGGCCCAGGCCCCTCGCCAAGGCGCGGAGGGCATCACGCAGCTGGGACGGCGTCCCCCATGAGAGCCGCGCGCCTGCACCAAGGCCGCGGACCGCAGTCCGCAGGAGCGCCACGGCCATCCTGCTGCGGACGACGACCGCCTCCGCGCAGTCCTTGCCCGCCGTGGTCTTGGACGAGCTGGTGCGGACTATGAACAGCTCGCCGCGGTCGACGATGTCGCCCACCGCCAGGGCAAACACCTCTGCGCCTCGGAGCATGCCCTCGAAGCCGACGAGAAGAGGGGCGGCCACGTCGAAAGCACCTGCAGCGCACGCGAACCCTGCCATGGCCGCGACGGCCTCGGTCGCGAGCGGCAGCACCCTGGACGCTGGCTCATGATGCCTCCATGCCTTGAGGAGAGTCCAGCTCAGGTCGAGGTGTCGCCTCAGACGAGGCACCGCGAAGCACACCCCCGCCAGCGTGTTGTTGGCGGCCGCGATGCCCGCACCAGAGGCCCACAGGCCTTCGAGGTACTCCGCGACGAGGGCGTCTGCGTCCTCGGGGTCGCCGCGCAAGGCGTCCGCCCCCGCCTGCTCGGCCCCAAAGTGGGCCAGCAGCGCGCGCAGGGCCCGCCCGTGGCGCCGCCGCGTCTCCGCTGACACCCTCAGGGAAGAGAGAGTCTGGCAGCGCGTCCCGCGGCGTCTCACGGGAGCGGGCCTGCGGTGAGCGGCCGCGCGCGCGGCACGGGTCGCCCTCGCCTCCTGGGCTTCGAGCCACGCCACAGCAGCCTCCTCGACGGCTCGTCCGCAGGGCTGTCCTCTGAGACCACGTAGCCGATCAGTGGGTACATGTCGGCCGCCACGACGACGGCCATCCAGCGCCTCAGGATGGGCTGTAGCTTCCTGCTGCTGCTGCGGCCCTTCGTCACGATGGCCGCGACCACCTGGCTGTCGACGAGGTGCAAGAACCTGCCCCCGTGCTGCGCGACCTTGCGGGCGCGCCACCTGATCGCCGCCGCGGCCGCCTGCAACTCTCTCACGTTTATGTGGGTGGAGCTCCGGCCAGGCCACGCCATGCTGACCACCACGCGCCACTTCCACACGAACGGGCCCAGGCTCGTCCTCGGCCAACCTCGCGGGCGGTAGGGGACGCCGTAGTCCAACCTGACGTCCGACCCGCCCTTCTCCGCGCGGCTGAGGTAGTGCAGGACCAGCTGCCTCGCCTCCGCGGTGTCCGGCTCTCCTGGCTCCGTGAAGGCCCCCGCCTGGTCCCACGTCGCCCGGCACACGCGGACGGGGGGCACCTCCTCTATCGACAGCTCCCCGTTCAGCGCGCCGCGGCGGTGCAGGAGCTGCTGGCACAACCATGCCACGACGTGAATACTGAAGCTGTTGCCGAGGAGGAAGGCCCTGGCGTCGGAGGCGCCCTGAGGGTTCGAGCCCTTGGTGGCTAGGGAGGTGTGCCCCACATCAAAGCCAAGGAGCCGCCCCCTCTCCTCGCTGGTGGGGAGGCGCAGGAAAGGGAACGAGGAGGTGCAGATCATGTTTTTGTCCTCGTACAAAGCCACATGATACCTGTGCCCGTCCGCAGCCCACCTTTGACGAGCCGTCTCCGACGCAGCCGCGAAGCCACGCGGGGCAGAGGGGAAGGAGGGCTGAGGCCTGCAGCAGACGAGCGTGGGGAAGCACCTTGGTCTCCCTGGCCAAGAGCAGCCCTCGCCCTCCCACGCGAGGTCCATGAGCGGGGCGCCAGGGCCCACCAGCTCGTCGTAGACCCCGCGGTCGGTCAGCCGAAGAGGCGCCGATGCGGTGACGCCCCAGCTCGTCCAGAACAGGCGCGGCCTGCGACACGGCACGAACACCGACGAGCACACCAGCGTCGGCCTCTCCTGCAGCGCCTCCGAGATCAGCTCCACGTTGGCGTCGGACATGCTGGCCACGTTCTCCACGAACCAAACGAGCCTGTCCTTGAAGACGGCGGCGAGGAGAGCCAGGATGCGTGGCACCTCGTGGAACAGCGAGGACTTCCTGCCGCTGAGGCCGCGCCCGCCGACGTTGAGGCGTGACAGGTCCTGGCAGGGGCTGCCCGCTGCGACCACCACCAGGTCGACGAGGCCGCCGAACGCCTCGAACAAATCCCGCACCGTCTCGCTGCCCACACGGGCGACGTCGCCCCAGTCGATGACACCTATCCAGCGGAGTCTGACAACGCGCCTCGCCTTGGCGTCCGTCTCGGCCGCGACGAAGGCCGCGATGCGGACGGGCAGCCTCGAGAAGGCGACGGCGAGGCCTCCGATGCCGTCGAACAGGCCGATGAGCAGCACCGACAGCACCCTGCGGACTGCCCTGGCGGGGACGCGTGGGTTGGCTGCCGCCCACGGTCGGGCGGGGTCCTCGGGCATGTTGAGGAGCCTGGCCCCTATCCCCAGCTGGTCGGGGACCGTCCTCGGCACCTGCAAGGCGGCGGCGACGTCCTCGCGCAGGCCAGCTGACGTGCACACGCCGCCGCCCATCTCCGACGCGTCCGAGGACGTGACCATGCCGTCGATGCGCGCCCGCAGCGAGGAGGCGGCCAGCGGCAGGACCATCACGCCCATGAGGAGCTCTTCCACCATCTCTGCGTCCAGGTAAGCCCCCTGCGCTGAGGACGCAGCCAGCCTCCAGACGGAGTTCAGGATCCCGAAAAGCGGCCGCCTGAACTCGAAGGCCCTCACGAGCTTGCCGAGGGCCGCCATGGCAACGCGCCACGGGACCAGGCGCCGCTGCACCGCGGCCAAGCAGAGGCCCGCAGTGGCCGGCGCCTTGGCAGCGGGGACCGCGAGGCGCCCGCTGACGCCGTCGACGTCCGCGCCCATGCGCTCGACCCTCAGCTGCCTGCAGTGCGCCTTCTCGGCCGAGAAGGAGACGCTTGCCCTCTCGTAGCTGGCGCGGACCTGCAGTTGGAGGTCGCTCGGGGCCCCCGCGAGCTTGCGGGCCAGAACCTCCTCGACGATCTCCGGCGCATCGAAGTCGTCGATGTAAACCTGCCACCAGCCAGCGTCCTGGCCGCTGCCTGCCTCGACCAGGGGCCGCGCGCAATCCTTGCGCCACTCCCCGTCTGAGGGGGGCCCCACCCCGAGGGGCGGCGCCAGGCGGCACAGTCGTCGGTGGATGTGCTGGAAAACGGGCACCGCGAGCGACCAGCCCATGGCGATGACAGCCGAGGTCACGTAGACGACGGGCTCCGAGCGACCAAACAGCTCGCCCGCGAGCGGCCGCCCCACGGCCATGTAGGGGTGCCACGCGGGCGGGACCCGCCACACGAAGAAGGCCCCCTTCTGGTCGTCGCCCGACCACAGCAGCAGCTTCCCCAAGGGGATCACGACCGACGTCCAGGACGTCGAGGCCGCGAGCAGCGCCGCCTCGCCCACGTGGGCCTTCAGGAGCGAGTTGCCTGGCACCATGTCGAGGGTGAGCCTGGTGACCCGCGTGGCGCCAGGCGCTGGAGCGCCCTTCTTCTCCACCGCGAACAGGCCGTTCAGCACGGGCTCGCCCCTCGCGCGGACCAGCTCGCTCTCCGCGAGCGTGGTGAAGATGCCGAGCGACACGAGGTGCAGCGCCAGCTCCTCCCAGTCCGCATCCGTCTCCACGTTCACGCGGGCCCGCGGCAGCGGGTCGGGCCAGTCGGATTGGTCGAGGAGCGCCAGCTCGGGGCGGCGCAGCCAGGCGCCAACCTCGTCGTCAACGAAGTCGATCGCGTCGAGCGTGGCAGCGCACTCCCGCGCGGGCAGCCCAGGGGCCAGCTCGCAGAGCCGGCAGGGGAGGGCCTTCACGCCCGTCTCGCCCTCGTACGCTGACCCGCAGCCGCCCGCCAGCTCGTCGATCGCGGGGGCCACGACCATGGCCAGCGGGTCCTCCGCCAGGGCCGCCGCTCGACTCTTCAGGTGCACGTAGACCTGCGTCTGCGCCTTCGACAGGGTCGGCCTGTGGCGCCAGCCTTCCTGCGCGCGGCCGCAGAACGCGTAGTTGAGCGCCACCGCGCTGAGGTACAGCCACGCCTGCTCGCTGACCTCCCGCGCCACGGCGCGGCGGCGGCACCTGCGTGCCTTGGGCAAGGCACTGTGGGCCAGCCAGCGGTCCACCTCCTCGGTCGACGGAAGGGGAAGCGGCAGGGCGTCCCGAACCCTCCTGTTCGAGGACCCTCCGCTCCCACAAAATGTGTCCGCACGCATGCTGAACGACCGAGCGAAGTGGCCAAGGCTGCCCGGGTGGCGTCGCACTGCTGCCACCAGCCGCGCCGCCAGGTCGACCGCGACGATGCTCTTGCCGAAGCCGAAGGAGAGCTCGTCGGACCAGCACTGCAGCGCGGTGGCCAGCGGGGGCTCCGCGACGCCCTCACCCCCCCCGCCTAGGGCGGCGCGATCTCCGCCCTCGGTAAACCGAGTTTGGCCCACGCCGCGGACTCCCCCACCAGCGCCCTTCGCAGGGCTCGCGCCCTTGATGGAGGCATCGGCCACCCCCCCTGAGGAGGCTCCACCATAGCGCGGGGCAGGCGGCAGGCTGCCGCCGCTCAGGTCCGACGAGGGCGCGCCGCCGCACGAGCTTTGAAGGCTCGCAGGCGGTGCTGGGTGTTCGTCTCCCCCGGCTGCTTCGGAAACTTCTTCCGCATCTCCGCGAAGGACATCTTCCACGGCGGTGGGGCTGCCGACCCCTCGGCCTGCGGGGGAGGCCCGCCCGCGGCCGCCGCCAGGGGGGCTGGTGGGGCCGCCGCGGGAGCCTTCCTGCGGGGCGGCCGAGCCCGCGGCTGGCTGGGGGCCTGCCCCTCAGGTCCCCTCGCCTGCGCTGTCGCAGGGGGTACCCCCCCTGCCTGGCCAACAGACGGAGGCGCCAGCGGCGGGTGCGCCCCCGTCGGGCCTCCGCCCTATCCCGGCGTCTTGGCGGAGGCCAGCCGTGCGGGGAGCTCGTCCAGCTTCATCTCCCCGAGCTGGATGCTGCGGATGAGCTCCTCCTCCTCGCTGCGGATGGCCGTGGGCTCGTCGCGCGGCGGGATCAGCTCCAACCACTTCGCCGCCGCCCACGAGCCATCCGTCGTTGCCACCTGCAGCGCCTTCAGGCGCTGGACGATCAGGTCGCAGGCGTGGGCCGCCTTCCCCTGCATCAGCAGGTCCACCGCCTCCGCGAGGGTGCGGAGCTCGCGGTACGTCTGCACGCCGATCTCCTTCACCGGATGCTGCGGCAGGTAGATCGTGAGGAGGTACCGCAGCGCGATCGGGCCCGTCGCGTCGACGGCTGCCTCCCCCTCCTGCGAGCCCAGGAAGTCCGCCATCTGCTGCAGGCTCAGCTCCGTGAGGCGGCCTGGGGAGGCGGCGGCCATCCGACGACAGAAGGCCCTCTTCGTGGCCAGGTCGCGCGGCACCGCCGCGGGGTCCGAGGAGCCGAGGCCGCCCCCGCCGCCGTCGCCAGGGGGACCCTCCTTGCCCTCGCGGATGGCCATCACGAGCGCCTGCGCCAGCTCCGCCATGCCGCCACTCGGACCAGCTCCTGGCAGCGCCCGATCGGGCACGGGGTCTCCTGACCCTCGGGGGGCCGCGTCCGAGGCGGCCCTCTTGAGCTTCGCGGCGCGCTCGACCAGCAGGTCTCCGAGCGACCGCTTCTTCACAGGCCCCTCGCCAGCCGCCTCTGCGCCGAGGGGGAAGCCGTCCAGGTTGACATCGCCAGCAGCCCGCTTCCCCTCCTCGAAGCGCACACGAGCACCCTCGAGCTTGCCTCCCAGGCCGCCCGCGGCAGCCGCCTCCTCGCCTGCGGCCAGCTCTGAGCCAGGCCCGCGCGACGAGCCTCTCACGCTCAGGAAGTCGTCGAAAGGGGCAGCGCCAGGCGGGGCCCTGGGAGGACCTGCTGCGGCTGGTGGGCGCCCCGCCGCTTTGGCCACCGCAGCGGGCCTCGCGGGGGCGGCGGCGGCGACCAGCGGCCCGAGGCTTGCTGCTGGCCAAGCCGCCTCGGGGTTCGTCTCCTGGCACTCGACGAACAGCGCCCGCAGGTCCCCGAGGCCGAGCTCCGCCCCGTCCGACACGTGGATCAGCTCGGTGCACGTCCCCGGCCCCTCCAAGACTGAGCACGGGTTCTCCGAGCACACGTGGATGAGCGGGCGCACCGTCATCGCGCTCGGCTGGCCAGGGTGGCTGGCCCACCAGTCCCAGTAGCCGTCGTCGCTGAAGAGGAACTCGGCCTTCACGAAGCGCAACGGCGGCTCTGCGCTGGAGACACGCAGCGCCCGCCACGCGAACCGGCACTGCTCGAGGCCGCCCGCAGTGTAGCCCGTGCTGCAGTAGCATCTGCCCTGGGCCACCGCCAGTGGGACGATCGGCACGGGTCCGTCCTCCACGGGCGCGGGCACGACGGCCTCCGGCGCCTCCCAGAGGTCCTCGTCTCCACCGTCGAGGTCCTCGACAGCCGCCTGGGCCATCCAGCCCCGCGCCTGCCACAAGTCAGGCCAGCGACCCTCGCCTCCCAGTGCTGCCGCCAGGAGCGCGAGGAGGGCGGATGGCGGCCCTCGGAGCAGGCCTCGCGGCCACGAGACAGCCCGTGGCCGTGACCCCGAAGAAATGCTTGGATCTTTAAGCCCAAACAGGCTACGGACGTGTTGGGGCGGCGTGTCTATATATATATATATATATATATATATATACATGCATGCATACATACATATACACATGTATGTATGTTTGTTTGTATGTATGTATGTGCGTGTACATTTATATGTATATATGAATATGCATAGGTCTAGATTCACGTGTACTCGCACACATACGTGCATGCATGCATGCATGCATGCATACATACATACTAGAACCACGCGCGCGCTTCGCGCGCGCTTAGGTTCTAGCCGTGGCCACGGAACAGCTCCGAACACGGTATGACCAGGCACAGGTCCAAGTATGTGGCGTTAGCCCAGAAAACCGACCTCCTCCCCGTCCTCCTCCTCCCCCTCTGCCTCCTCCTGCCTCTCCGCCCCCTCCTGCCTCCTCCTCCTCCCTCCTCCCCCTCCCCCTCCTTCCCCCCCCCCCTCCCCCTCCTCCTCCTCCTCCACCTCCTCCTCCTCCTCTTCCTTGTCCTCCTCCCCCTCCTCCTCCTCCTCCTCCCCCTCCTCCTCCTTCTCCTCCCCCTCCTTCTCCTTCCCCTCCTCCCCCCGTCCTTTTCCTTCCCCTCCTCCCCCTCCCCCCCTCCTCCTCCCCCTCTTTCCTCCCCCCCCCCTCTCCCCTTCCGCATCCTCCGACTCGTCGTCGTCCTCCTCCTTCTCCTCCTCCGCCTCCTCCTCCTCGTCCTCCTCGTCCTCCTGTTCCTCCTCCTCCTCCCTCCTCTCCACTCCCGTCCTCCTCCATATTATCCCCCCCCTCCTCCCCCTCTCCTCCTTTTCCCCCTCCTCTACCTCCTCTCTCCTCCTCCTCTCCTCCTCCTACTCCCACTCCCCTCCTCCTCCTCACTCCTCCTCCTCGCCTCTTCCTTGTCCTCCTCCTCCTCATTCATTTCCTCATCCCCTTCTCCTACTCATCCTCATCATCCTCCGCCCTCCCCCCCAATCTCCCTCCTCCTCCCGCTCCCTCCTCCTCCTCCTCCTCCTCCTCCTCCTCCTCCTCCTCCTCCTCCTCCTCGTCCTCCTCCTTCTCCTCATCCCCCTCCTTCACCTCGCAAAACACTCGACGCCGGGATGTGTTCACAACGTGGGCCCAGCATATCCGGACGACTTCCCGGGGCCGCCTGTTCATCCCGCCTTGTGTCTTACGGTCCAGGGGCCCCTCAAGGGCCCCCTGGAGGCTGGAACTTGTGCAAAAGCTTCCCGTCGTGTTTTTTCGTCCCGACGCGAGGTGGGAGCATCGAAAAGCGACACCACCACCACCACCACCAGGGCGAGGAGCCAGGGGATGCCCCCTGGTGGTGTGGCCACACCTCCCCGCTCGAGACATCCCCAACCTCCAGCTTGACGGGGCATCGCGGACCTTCTCGATGAAGGTGGCTCCCCTGGTGGTGGGTGGTGGTGGTGGTGGTGGTGGTGGTGGTGGTGGTGGTGGTGGTGGTGGTGGTGGTGGTGGTGGTGGTGGTGGTGGTGGTGGTGGTGTCGCTTCTCCTTCCCCGAGCGAGAGGGACTGGGTCCTGCACTCTGCCCCGGGCCTCAACGGCCTCCGGACGGGAGGCGCCCGCCCTCGAGGGCGGCGCGGCGGGCCCGACGCGACGCCGACGGCGTTCCCTCGGGGCCTCTCCTGCCTTTCATTTTGGGGGAGCCGGTTTCGGAACCAGGGGCCGTCGAGAAACAGGAACCGGGGCAAAAAACTACTCCAAGAAGATGCGAATGCGGCCCCGGTCGGGCCGGGGCGGGGGGAACGCAGCCCCGGGAGGGAGGGAGGGTGGGAGGAAGGAGCAGCAGGAGAAGAAGGGAGCAGGAGGAAGCGAGTCAGAAGCAGGGATCGCGTGCATCCTGAAGGACGCGTCATGAACCTGTGAATTTCCCACCTAGTATTTGTACTACCACGGTCAGGGGAGAAGCAGATCCCACGGGGAATGCAATGGCATCGGGGTAGAGCAAGGCAAGACCGATCTCTGGGAGCTGGTGGTAAGCCACGATGACTTCCGAACCCTCAACAGGCTTCCGAAAACCACTCCATCTTCTCCTCGTCGTCGTCGCCCTCCTCTTCCTCCTCCTCTTCCTCCTCCTCCTCCTCCTCCTCCTCATCGCCGGGGCCCGCGATGGTGGAAAATAGCCTCCACAAGGCACGGCGCCCACCCGGGGCCGAAGACGGCGAAGAAGCGTATCCTAATGGAGGCTCGAAGCCTGACGATGAACCAAGGGAACATGGGATCCTGCAGCGTCTCCCGCGAGACCAGCACAGGGGGAGAGACCACCAGCATGGCCCATGGCATCTGTTTGTCGCGCACCCGTGACATGCATCTTGGGAGCCCTTCGGGGGCTTCTGGCGGCGTCTTGGGGGCCTCCGGGGCGCTTCTTGGAATCTCCTGGGAGCTTTCTGGGGCCGAAGGCTTGAAAAGTCCGTTCGGATTCCCTGTCTGGGTCCCTTCTTAGAGCCGTCTTGGGGCTATCTTGGACCGTCTTGGAGGCCTCTTGGGCTGCTTGGGTCCCTCTTGGGCTGTTTTGGGGCCGTCTTGGGAGCCTCTTGGGCCGTCTTTGGGCGATCTCGGGAATCTCTTTGGCTATCTTGGAGCGCCAGGAAGCCGCAAAGGTGAGAACCACAAAACATCCTCCCACCAAACCCTTGAAAAACAACAATTGTTAGCCTCTTGTGGCCCTCTTGAAAAAGCCTCTTGGAGGCCTTTTGGGGTGTCTTGGAAGCCTCTTGGGCCGTGTAGGGACTATCTTGACTGTATTGGACCGATCTTGTGGCGCCCTCATGGACATCTTGGGTGCTTCCTGAGGCCGTCTTGGAGGCCTTCTGGAGGCCTCCTGGGGCGTCTGGAGGCCCCTTGGAGGCGCCAGGGCGGGGGTATTGAAAAAGGGGGGCCCAAGGGTTTTGAGGTGGGCGGGGCCCCCGGGCTGGGGACCTGGTATTCATCCACATATATCCTATGGGGGCCTCCTTGGCGCCTTCTGGCGGTCTTCTGTGAGGCCCCGGGGTTCCCCGAGGGCCCCGGGGCCCACATTTGCGGCCGTCTTGGGCCTTTCGTGGGCCGTCCTGGAGCTCTGTGGGGCTGTATTGGGTCCCTCTGGGGCGCGTCCTGGGCCGGACCGACAGCGAAAACAAGCAATATGTTAAACATATACGTTTTACAAAAGGAGTGGGGCTATTTTGGCCCCTTGGGGCTCTCTTTGGGGCCCTATTGGGGGTCGCTTGGGGTGTCTTGGGGGCTTCTGAAGCCGCCTTGGAAGCCATGTTGGGTGTCTGGGAGCAACCTTCGGGCGTCCCGGGTCTGTTCGGGAGCCTCTTGGAGCCTCCTTGGCGGGGCTCCCCGAGGGCCCCGGGCCCACATTTGCGGCCGTCTTGGGCCCTTCGTGGGCCGTCCTGGAGCTCTCTCCTTGTAGGGCCACGAAACAATGTACTGGGTGGGGGGGACGCATGCGCCACTGGAACCTTCGGTGGAGCTCCCTATGGGGCCACGAAGCGCTGCACTGGTGGGGGAGACGCATGCGGGCTGCGCCACTGGACCTTCGTCGGAGCTCCCCATAAGGCCGAGACGCACGCGGGCTGCGCAATTGAGACCTTCGGTGGAGCTCCCTATGGGGCCACGAAAGGCTGTATTGGGTGGGAGGGACTCATGCGGGGTGCGCCAGTGGAACCTTCGGTGGAGCTCCCTATGTGGCCACGATCGGTGTACTTGGTGTGGGAGACGCATGCGGGCTGCGCCACTGGGGCCTTCGGTGGAGCTCCCCATGGGGCCACAAAGCGCTGTACTGGGTGGGGCGGACGCATGCGGGCTGCGCCACTGGGACCTTCGGAGGAGCTCCATAGGGCCCTTTCGGGCCGTCCTGTGCGCCTCTGGCGCCGTCTTGGGGCCCCCTTGGGCCGTCTTGGGGCCGTTTTCGAAGCCCCTGGGGCTGTTTTGGAGCGGACAATATGACATCTTGGGTCGTCGTGGAGCGTCAGAACACTGAAAAGGCGAGAACTTGGAACTCCTTCCAAAACCTTTGGAAAATCATTAACAAGTTGTGCCTCGCGGGACTCCTTTGGAGGCATCTTATCTAGGAGGTTTCTGGGGGCGTCTTGGAGGCCTCTTGGATAGTCAGGGGCTAATTCTGGCCGCCTTGGCCGTCGTGGCCGTCATTGGTCGTTCCCGCAATCTGGAAGCGCCATGTTTGGCGATCCTGGGGCCGTCTTCGGGCGATCTGAGGGGGCCCCCGGCGCCTCGGCAAAACCCCCGGAACTTCCCAGTCCCCCAGATGGGGACACATGTTTGGGGACCGCGGGCCTGTGCATATATATATATATATATATATTATATATATATATATATATATATATATATATTCCTTATCCTTATTACATGACACGGAAAAACCGACAGAGATGGGCATCAGATAATTCCAGGCCCTCCCGGGGCACCGGCGGAGACCTGGAAAGAGTCCTCCAAAGCATCCCTCGGACCTTCCAGACACCCCACAAGTGCCTCCACGACGGCCAAGATGGCCTCCAAGAGGCCAAGATGGCCTCCAAGACGGCCGAGCATAGCCTCAAGATGGTCTAAGACGGCCCCAAAGGCTCCAAAGAAGCCTCCAAGAGGGCCCAAGAGCCCTCCAAGACGCCCTCCAGGGAGGCCCGAAGAGGCTAAAATCATCGATTTTCCTTAGGTTTTTTGAAGGATTTTGGCACGTTCTTCTTTTCAGCTCTCCGACGGCCGAAGACGGCCCAAGAGGCCCCCAACATCGCCCCAAGAGCGCCCAAGAGCCCTCCAAGATAGTCCCATGACGGCCCAAGAGGCCCCCAAGAAGGCCCCAAGAGGGCCCCAAGACGGCCCAAGAGG